TTCAGAATTATGGCGTGCGTGACATGCATAAAGCTAGGAATGCGTTTTCGAAAAGTATATACTTATCTCGTGATTTTTGGCCTATTCAGAAGTTAAAGTATTAGGAAAACTGCTTATGTAAACGCTTGTTTGTTCAGTACAGATAATCAGTCGCCTAGATAGCCAAAGTAAGTTGCTCATGTTTACACTATTTTCAGGCCGCCATGTTGGTGTACCACGAAGGTACACCAACATGGCGGCTCCATACTGGGCTCTGTAAATTTGTGCAAAATGTTTCGACGAATATCTGAAGTTTGGGAAAACGCACAGCCTTAAAACTTGGAGAAGTGTCTTCTTTATCAATCTCCTATAACATCACAATTGCTTGACTTAATCCACTGAATGGTTTTCGAGTTATATTTTTACTGCGTGACAGTGCAAGCCAAGAATACCAAACGATCCACGTTCTTCCGGTTCAATAAATGATGATTTAGGAGGACGGTGGCATCAAACCAATCACAACTTTGACAACTTTGACAACACCTTCCTGAGTAGGACAAAAAATCCACTAGGCTCCAAACCGAAGCACTCAACTACTTCTTAAGTTTGTGGCAGAGAGGAGGCTTTGAACCTTGACTTCCGGATTACAAAACGACCGCTCTAACCACTAGGCCACGCGGACCCCCTATTTCCCGCAAAGATCCAATTTTCAATTTTTTTGCATTGAACCCGCGAGTTGCGCGCCTCTTTCGTGTTTATGTTTTTTCAATTGTCCCAGAATAAAGAAAAGAGTTTAGTTCCTTTTGTACAACTCAATACTTCAAGAAAACGCACGCAATCGTGAAGAGGATGTGAATTTACATATCGCCTGATTAGACGCCCTTTGCCGCCCTTTGTCGCCCTTTGTCGTGCTATATGAAAGTTATAAATTTTCACTGGCGAACGTAACCCTTAAAATGTTGAAATGTTATCTTCAACATTAGAAAACTAATGCAGTGGTAAAGTTGACTCACCTTTCAACCTAAAAGAAAATTTATCAATGCTATAGTTTCCTCCCAGCTGGTCCAAATTCACCTCTATTCCGTCAAACTCGGCTGGCTGCCACTCCAGGCATTTCACAGCAAGTAATGCGGCAGCAGAACTGTGTTGGTTTCTACACACATAAACTTTACAAAGTCCTTTTCCAGCCGACTCGACGCATCTCTTAATCAAAGGTAACATTAAAGCGAGTCTTTTTGCACAAAATTTCAGCTGTACCTACTAGCTAGTCTAGTTGTTCTGCTTGCTGCATTAACACAGTGAAAGACAAAGCAAACAATTGATGAGGGAGGACAGATCGAGATTTGAACGATAACAATGGCTCTAATACCA